GAAACAATTTTATTTGGCCACAGGTTTAAAGGTGAACTACCATAAGTCAGAAATTTTTTGCTGTGGAATGCAACCTAATGAAATAAGGGAGCTAGCTGATTTGTATGGCTTCAAAGTGGGAACCCTTCCTATTAGATACCTTATGGTACCACTTATAACTGGAAGACTAACAGATGCTGCTTTAAAGCCTCTCATCACAAAAATAACTGAGAAAATCAGTTCATGGACTTCTAGATATTTGTCATTTGTAGGAAGATTGCAGCTTATTTCATCTGTTCTTCAAAGCATAACAAATTTTTGGTGTTCTATTTTCATTCTACCAAAAAGAGTAATTAAATCAGTGGAGGGAATTTGTAATGCCTTTCTTTGGAAAGGTAGAGTAGCTGATGCAAGAGGAGCCAAGGTAAGTTGGGCAACAGTATGCCAACCAAAGATGGAATGAGGATTAGGCTTGAAGCCTTTGCATATTTGGAATATGGCTTGCATTTTGCGATTCATTTGGCTACTTTTCACCAAGGCAGGCTCTATTTGGGTGGCATGGGTGCAAACATATCTGCTTAAAGAAAAGAGTTTTTGGTCAGTAGGAATTCCTGCAGACACTACTTGGAGTTGGAGAAAAATCCTAAAACTTAGAACATATGCTAGACCTCTGGTGAAGCATATAGTTGGTAAAGGTGACACTATTTTCCTCTGGTATGATTCTTGGCATCCCAAGGGACCTCTTATTGAAGTATACGGGCAGAAAATTGTACGAGATGCTGCCATTCCCTCTCAAGCAAAATTGTCTCATGTAATCCAGGGGGATTATTGGAAATGGCCTCTTGCTAGGTCCCTTGAACTATTGCAGATTCAAATTGCTTTGTGTGGAATGTTATATCCAAATCAGGCTATGGAGGATCAGGTTGTTTGGTTGGCTTTTCCATCAGGTTCTTTTCGAACAGGTGCTACTTGGAACTTCCTTAGGCAAAAAAGATCTAAGGTACCCTGGTTTAGACTCATTTGGTACTCAAATTCTATCCCCAAACATAGTTTTATTGCTTGGCTGGCTATATTAGATAGACTCTCTACCAGGTCCAAGCAGAAGAATTGGTCTTCTTCCATTGATGACACTTGTGTGCTATGTGGGAATGTAAGTGAAACTAGGAACCATCTCTTCTTCTCCTGTCCCTACACTACTCATATTTGGGAAAAGATTTCTTCTAGGCTGGAAATCCCATTAAACTGCATTTGGCAACATGCTTTGGATTGGTTATGTAAGAGAGTTAAACGTAAGGCATTGTATAGCTCTCTTCTTAAATTAGCTTGGTGTGCATCAATATATCATATATGGATTGAAAGAAACAGCAAGATACATAGACAACTAAATAGATCTCCTTCTGCAATAATTGATATGATTCAAATGGATGTCCGAGACAAAGTACTGGGGTCTGTTGTAACTGCACCAAACCAGAAGTCCTTCTTCAGTCCGCGCCTGCACTCCGGATTGACCTGCAAAGCCCTGAGGTGGATCCTCGGGGTAGACACTCCGATGCTTAAGTTAGCAATAATCGGGGCTACCTTTGGAGCGGAGATAAAAAGAGCTTAGGGTTGGTTTCCAATTACCTTTTGGCGTGGCCCTTGAGGGGTATTTATATGCTCCAATGAAGAATCTACGTGGCATGCCAAGCAAGATACTCGAGATCTGATGTGTATCTCCAGATGGTTATTTCGGGACCGAGGAATTGAGAGATATTTAGATACGAGGATGTCCATCATAACTGCTGTATAGCTGTTCGAGCGGGAAGCTCTGGATTTACTCTTTACTCCGGTTGTAAACGAATTACTGTTGTACGTCCGAGGCTGGGCACCTCGGTCCTGCCCTTACACTATTCCCCCCCCCCCCCCGAAGTCATTCACTTGTGAATGATGTTGTTGGAAGTGACAGGGGTAGTGCATAAATAGAAAGGAAGAGAGGTAAAGATATTATAGATGGGTTGCGGGAGAAAAAATAAAAATAAAAATAAAAATCTGGAACTTTACATGTATTGATGACCATAGTCAACAGTTAAGTAGGAGCCGTAATAAAAAGTAATGACCTGAGTCATTGTGATCGCGGGCAAAGCAAAGCACGTGACACTGAGTCACTGTGGCCACAGCCGAAGTAAAACATGTGACACTGGGTCACTGTGGCCAGAGCCGAAGTGGAGCATGTGATGCTGGGTCACTGTGGTCGTAACCGAAGTAAAACGTGTGACACTGGGTCACTGTGGCCGTAGCCGAAGTAAAACATGTGACACTGGGTCACTGTGGCCGTAGCCGAAGTAAAACATGTGACACTGGGTCACTGTGGCCGGAGCCGAAGTGGAGCATGTGACGCTGGGTCACTGTGGCCGTAGCTGAAGTAAAACGTGTGACACTGGGTCACTGTGGCCGTAGCCGAAGTAAAACAGGTGACAATGGGTCACTGTGGCCGGAGCCGAAGTAAAATACTTTGTGCAAAATTTAAAATGGATAAAAGTGAGCAAGAGTGTTGAAATGGGCTTAAGTGGGCCCATCTGAGAAGTCTGACAAAGAGGCGGTATGCGACGCGACAGTTGTCCTCTGAATGACGTGCGTAATAAATGCCGCTGTAGAAAGATAAATGTAATAGCCTAACGGGCAGATGTAAAAAATGAATCGTCGAGTTCGAAACGGTGTCTTTGTAGCCGTTAAATGGGGTTAATCAGAGCCGTTGAGGCGTATTTTGCCTTTGGTATAAAAGGCTAAACTTCTGTAAAGAGGGATTTTTATTTTCGCAATTTTGCTTCAAAATTCTTGCTGAATTGCTACTAAATTTCTGCGGTTTCATGCGGTTTGCGCTTCAATCAAAACTTCAACAACAGTTTTCAAGACCAAAATTAGGTAAAGTTCATGAATTTTTTACTTTGATTTTGTCGAAGTGTTGTTCTCCTTTCCCCCTTTCTGTGGTTGAGTTGGGGTTTTGGAAGGAAATTAGGGTTGGGGGTGAGAATGTATTTGAGTGTGTTAGCATTGTTGAGGGTCCTGACTCTATTCCTCCTCCCAGACGGTTATTTCGGGACCGGGGAATTGAGAGATATTTAGATGCGAGGATGTCCATCATAACTGCTGCAACAAAGCCGGATCCAACCCAAGACTTTCAAAACAATGGAAGTACATGATGTCTGGTGCACTCCCTGTGTCAACAAGGACGCGCTGCACCTCACAATTGTTAATCGTGACAGAAGTGACTAGGGGGTCATTGTGAGGTGTGACGACTGTATCGAGATCAGCAGATATAAAGGTAATCGGATGATTCTTCCACTCAACATCGTCAAATTTTCTCTTCTGAGCTCGGTTCTGATGTTTAACCTCTCGGACATACAACTTTCACTGCTTAGAGCTTAGTCCACCGGCTTCCAAGCCTCCCGTGATCATGTGTATGATTCTAGCTGGTGGTGGGAGCAGAGGTGGGGTTTGCTGGTATCCCACACCTTGTCGATTTGGCGGGTTACGGATTCCTTGAGGTGGTGGCCCTTGTTCTCTGACAAATCGTGGCTGTTCAGCTCTCTGAATGTACTCATTTAACAATCCCTTCTGGGCAAGACTTTCCAGTTCGGACCTCAAGCTGTTGCATTGCTCTGTTGTATGACCATGATCTTGATGGAAATCACAATATCTAATATGATCTCGGCTAGCAGCAGTAGTTCTCATTGGGCCGGGACGCCTTAAATCCATCTTATTCTTGATCTGTATGAAAATTTGTGACCGGGGCAAATTAAAAGGAGTCCAATTAACTGGAGGTTTACCTTCAAACTGTTGTGGCGCTGCAGAGTTCGACCTTCCGAATCTTGGTACGGAGGTCGACATCGGACCTCGGTTCTGTGCTATTCTCATCCGCTTCCTGCTCGGATTCTCCTCCCTCCAGTATGGGTTCTGGTTCTTAGAGGGGGCTGGTTTCTGCGACAAGGCATATTCTTCAGCAGTTATGAATTTTAATGATCTATCATTTACCTCGCTGAAGGTGGTGGCAGGATGTTTGAGTAGACTATCTCTGAATCTCTCATGGCCAAGACCGGAGATCACAGCTGTAATTCCCATAGTTTGGTCGAAAGAGTTAACCTCCAGCACTGCATCATTGAATCTGCTCATAAAATTCTTCAAAGACTCTCCGTCCCTCTACTTAACTCGCATCAGCACGAAAAGCTCAAATCGAAAAAGAACGCATGATGAGAGAGAGAGGAAGAGAGAGAGAGAGAGGGGTTCACGGCGGACGAAGGTCACGGGCATCAGGGACGACACTGAGCTGGGAGCGTGCAGGATCTCGCAGAAGAGGGCAACTACAGAAGGCAGCAGTGGAGCGTCGGGGACAGGGGCAAACTGAACGAAATCAGGGAAGGGGGTATCAGAGCGAAGGACCATTTGATGGGGGTCTTTACAAACAAGCCACTCCATATTTCTTCACCAATTTCCCGGAGTATTGGACGTATGCTGATATGTGGAGAACTTTCCGACAATTTGGGAGGGTGTATGATATCTACAGCCCGAACAGAAGAAGCAGAAATGGGGGCAGGTTTGGGTTCGTCAGGTTTTTAGAAGTAATGGACAAGAAGGAGCTGGAAAGGCAGTTGGATCAAATCTGGGTTAATGACATGAAATTATGGGTTAATAGTCCGAGATATGAAGTGGAAAAGGATAGAAGCAAGGTGAAGAGATCCAGCGGTGAAGGGACAGTGCAGAGGAATGTTCCTGTCGATGGTGAGGCCAGAGAAGAAAGAAATAGTGGAGGAAGGGTAGCTCAGTCTCAAAACAGAAGTTATGCTGAGGTGGTGAAAGGAAAACAGAGGGAAAGTTTTATAGAAGAAGGGATTACTCAACCTCAGAAAGCCCAGGAAAAAAGCATGAGCAGAACCAGAGTCGGGCTTCATAAAAGGGAGCCAAGGAAACGGTGGCAAGAGAAAGGAAGGAGGGAAGACTGGGTTGGAATGGAGTACAACATCAAGCCAGAAGAATTTTCATGGCTCAATGGGTGTTATGTGGGCACAGTACATACAATAGAAATGGTTCGCAATTTACAAGAAAAATTCTTTATGGAAGGGTATTTTTTTTGTAAAATTTATGCAATGGGAGGAAGATTGGTCTTATTAGACTGTGAGGATAAGGAGGAACTTAAGGATCTGGTGGAGATGGCAGCAGAATGGCTTGGGCAATGGTTTGAAGAAGTGCGTCCTTGGACTCCAGAAACGGTTGCAAAGGAAAGATTCGTATGGATGAGATGCCAAGGGGCACCGTTGAACGTCTGGGGAGTTGATTTTTTCCAGAAAATGGGCAGCTCATGGGGGAAATTCGTTTGCTTGGATGAGAGTACAAGCAAAAGAAAGAGATTTGACATTGCTAGATTTTTAATTTCCACTCCGTTGACAAACTCAATCTCAGTCTTGAGGCAAATTAAGATTAATGGGTTTATCTACAATGTTAAATTCACAGAGGAAGAATTCACAAATAGCTTCTTCTCATTGAAGCAGGATTTTATGCCTTCATTTCATAGTGAATCAGAGGATCAGGAGAATTGGT